CTTAAAGAGCTGGGCATGTTTAGCCTGAAGAAGAGAAGGCTGAGAGGAGACATGATAGTCATGTATAAATATGGTGAGAGGAAGTCATAGGGAGGAGGGAGCAAACTTGTTTTCTGCTACCCTGGAGACTAGGATGAGGAACAATGGCTTCAAACTACAAGAAAGGAGATTACATCTGAACATTAGGAAGAACTTCCTGACTGTGAGAGCAGTTCAGCAGTGGAACTCTCTGCTCCAGAGTGTGGTGGAGGCTCCTTCTTTGGAAGCTTTTAAACAGGTTGGATGGCCATCTGTCGGGGGTGCTTTGTATGTAAGTTTCCTGCTTCTTGGCAGGGGGTTGGACTGGATGGCCCATGAGGTCTCTTCCAACTCTATGATTCTATGAATACTGCAGTAAGAATTTCTTTTAAATGCTTAAATATTTCACCAGAAGATCAACCAGCGGAAGGTTGTGTAAAATATGGAATTTTACACAATTTCCTTACAGAAGAAAAAGAAACAGACTTGCTCCATAGAACAGAGTCCATGAGATTACTGCCAAAGCTCTACTTCTTTTAAGTATCCTTCTAATATCATAAAGAAAAGAAAAAACTAAGTAGGATCACTTGCCGGATAAAAATGTATATTAAGTTTTAGGATAAGAAGATTAAATATAACATTGCAAAGAGACATTTTTCTTTGTTTTAAATGTAGAAGTTTAAAGATTTACATATTTTTAGATTGGTTTCCATACTGTAGTCCAACCTGAATAAAATCTTTGACTGCTGATAAAAGGATAGTGAGGAGAAGGTCATTTTTCCTAGTGAGGGAGTTCAACCATACCAGCAAAGACCATGGGAATTAAAGAAATGCTTTTTCTGTGGATCTCAGGATCTGGGTAAGGTCACATGGGGAGGTATAGGCACTCATCTAGCCTGGATATAAACCGGTCATGGTCCCCCTTCACTCTTCTCAAAAATCTCATGTAAAAAAAAACCTACTACAGGGATTTTAATAACATGTAATTTATTCACACTTGCTAATGCACACAGAGAGAAAGACAAGATAGGTGTTGTAGCTCAGTCCATGGTTGCGGCTGATATCGATGTAAATGAGGAAGTGGATCATGGGAACTCTGAGCCTGCAAACCAACATTAGATTTTAAGTCCTGAAAATGACCAGCCTGTGTCTCCAGCAGTTAATGAAGATCACATTCCAGAGAGGTGCCATGATGGTGCAGAAGAGTCGTTCTCTAGGGAAACAGGTTGAGAAGCTGATATCCCAGGTGGACAGAAAAATGAGTTGCAAGATAATGAGCTGGTTAATAGGAGACTCAGTTTCCTATCAACAGAATCTCCAAAGGTCACAGTTCTTGTTAGAGAAGAGACCCATATCAGGAAGTCATGGGTGAAGGCATGATTTCATGTGTATATTAGAGAGGCCGGGAGGATTTTCCAGCCAGTCTGATCAACGTTGGTAATTGAGACAACAGCTTGCCAAGTCCTAGTCAATCTTTCTGGGGGAATTCTAGTTCCATGCCTTTGCTTCTGTTTCATGCTTCCCAGTTTGAAGAATTCTTCCTGGATTTTTGTATTGGATTCTATGCTGCCTTGTACTTCCTGGTTTTCTTGTATGCCTGTGCTGGATGTCCTGTTGCTTTGAGATTTTGGATTACTCTTGTACCTTGAACTTTGTGGACTATTTTATATGTATAGAAATTTTTACTAATTTTGCTAGTGCTTTTTATATAATCTTTAATAAACTGCTTTGCTGATTTAACTTGGATTGGAGTGTGGTGGTTAAGTACAAAAGTGTTTCCTGGCCTAGAGTGCAACAATAGAGATGCACATAGTACAAGTTTCACAGGCAAATAAAGAACATGGCAGTAGTAGGTGAATGTTGAATTAAATCTTTAAAAATGACTGTTTTACCCTGTGATCTTCCTATGGAATTCTATGTTGTTTATTTCTGGCCCAGCAGTCTTATGTGTGTTTTCTCTTACGGGGCAGAACTAATCTTTCTTTCCTGTATTCAGTAACTGATATAATCATTTGTGCACGAGAAGGAAGAAAACTAACCAGAGAGAAGAATCCTGCCTGAAGTGCAAAACACACAACAAAGGAAGAATCCAACAGCACTGGACTACTTTCACTACACTTTGCATGTGAATGAAGAAAAATATAACACAGTTTATATAACTACTGAAAATATTCAGAAAACCTCTTGACCACAAACTGCGAAGTCAAACAATTATGTTAAATTCTATAAGGTTTTAACAGAGCAGTCAACTTAACATAAAAAAATGGAAAGCAATCTAGTTCAAATTAAATGCAAATAGTTACAAGGTCAGCTTCATAAAAATCTAATGCATCAAACACTGTGACTATTACAGCTTTACTTCCTGTGAATGTCATCTTGTTTTAATTTACGCTCTAATAATTGGCATATATGAAAAAAGATGTCTATATTACTGAAATACATTTAAGTAAATTCAGTTCATTACTGCCTTGCTATGTCCAATAGGCTCATTTTAATTTGCTTACAAGAATATTTCAATTAGAATTAAACAATAATTAACAGAATAGTTTGATCAGTGATGACTGAAACACTCTCTAAAATTCTCCGATGTTGGTACGGAATGTGAAAATCATTACAATATAATGGTTATGCTGTTTGAGTCTGATATTATGAGAAACAGTCATAACATTACAAAAATGAAAATTAGTACATTGTTTTGCATTTGAAGGACAAGGAAATGACATCTGGTATTTGAATAAATTGTGGAAGAAAATGGGTTATAGGGCTAAGTCTGAGGAATGGCTGACATTAGTAGTCTTATGAAAATAAGCCTGACCTGGTTGTTTTGAAATTTCTTAACATTTTATTCATGTTATGGAAGTACACTACCCATTTAGATCATCAGTAATGTCACTAAAACTAAACTACTTCTGCAAGCTTGAAGAGTGATAAACATTTGTGGTATCAGCGAAGGCAATTTTTATGCCTTAACTTTTAAAGATGGAACAAGATATTTTATAATTTTCCTATTCTTCTTCCATTTTCCCTGTGGATAATTCAAAGCAACACTTTAGCCTGAATATTGCTATGTTAGATAGATTACATTGAAAATGATGACTTGTACAAGATCCCATAGGAGCAGGAATTTCAACTGGGCTTCTTCTATCCAAATAGAATGGAATGGCATAGGTAGTAAAAGAAATTTTAATTCACCTGAAAAACTATTCAAGTTACTAGAATGTTCTAAGTTTGACACATTCATTAACTTATTAACTTATTAAAAATGGTCTTTCCTTCCAGATTCCAAAGACTGATGGAGTAAAGAAAACATACATTCAGTTGTGACCGAAGTCCTTGCACTTATTTAAGCCACTTGGAGGATCATCACTGCCACATTAAAGCACAAATATGGCTTGGCACTGCCTCTTCGCTCACTCCTCTGCCAGGCCACCTCTTATGAAGGCTCCTTGACAACATGCAGCTTCACATGTCAGTAGCTGCTTGAAACAGCCAAAGACTGCTCCACAACTTGCTGTGTGGTAACTATTATGATGAAGTGGTATATTTCCCAAGATATTTCAACCACCAAATCTGCATTTGGGTTGTTTCTTATGCATGCTAAATACAATCACGTTTTCAAGTAGTTACAGTTCAATAATCTTGAGTAAATATCTCTTGAGACATTTCCTTATAAATGGGGTTCAGGGACTTTGGCCTAGTATTAAGAAAGCAAACGCTTCTATGGTTTAAGCAAAATACACTACACTAGAAGGTATACATTCCATCTCTAACGGAATTCTAGAACAATATTAAGTTTCACACCTCCTTCTGGTTTCCAATGTAATCATTAATCTATAGACTATGTTTCAGAGGAAAGAACTGCAAAACTGTCTCTGAGTGTTTCTTTCCTAAGAAAACCGTCTGAAATCTATGGGATTACTGTAACTCAACAGGCATCTTGGAGGCACATACACAGAAACACAATTAGCCATACAGATAGATCGACTTTTTATCCACTGAGCAGTAAAGACCAACTGAGATCATTGCGTCAAACTTATGGAAGCCATGAAATACACAGCATAATAGAATGACTAGTTTTTTAATAACCAAATTCTCTGATACATACCTTACTAAAAGAGAAAAACGTCAATTGTTTTTATTCTGAGAGTAACTCAGTAACAACCTTTCAATGACACTGCCACCAACTACGAGGAGTCCACAATGTTGACAGTAAATTTCAGAAAATACACAAACTCATTTAGGAGTCACAATTTAAATCGCTGGTGAAGTATTTAAGACAAACGTATTTACTATATTAATTAAATGGTCTATTTAACATGGAATATCAATTCTCTAATCACATCTCATTTGAACTTATTTCAATTAACAAACTCTAAAGTATACCGACACAGATCCTACTGTTCTAGGCCCATTAGGAACATTTTCATTATCTGTCACAAATGAGGAAGCAAGAGGCAGAAACTGTAAGCACTCTCTAGAGTAGCCCCCTATCCTACTTAAACGATTATTAGGGGAGAAAGCAACGGTAATTCTCATTAGTTGCTCAGTATGGGAAAAAGAACTTGCTATCAACTGAAGCAGAGCAAAAGAGAGGTCTCTGTGCAAAGTCATGAATGAACAGTCTATCATCCACTCAAGGGTAATCTGTCATGTAATAAATAGAATCAGTCTAATTTACTGTATTGACAAAACAAACAAAATTACAGATAAACGCACAACATGGAGAGAAAAGGGAAAAGAGGATGGAAACTAGTGACAAACTGACCACAGTTATGAGAATTCATGAAACACCATGCTTGAAATGCATAGCTCTCCTACCCCAACTTAAAATGTTAAGGAACACTCTCAGTCTTTAAAGTTTAACTGGTAAGACTATTTGTCATACAGAGACGGATTTTAATAGCTCTAATTTTCAAGATGTAATACTGTGATATTCTTAAAATACCATGTTATAGCAAAGTTCATATTGCAGTTTTTCTTACCTGTATATTCACAAGTGAAGACAACAAAAAATGGAGTAACAAGATCATTAATGCCCTGGACATATCCACTGGCTGGATGACGTATTGCCCAGATAAATAAAATTCTTTCAAAGATCTGGGGGGAGAAATGTAAAGAACCATGAATGAATGAGAGCAGAAGCAATCAAGATTTGGATAAGAAAAAAGTGAACATCAGCTTATATAATAATTTGTAGTGCTAGTGCAATCCCTTTGTTCTTTAAATACAACATTAAGAGTTACTAGTATTACGCTTAAATCAAATTCATTTTTCCTTCTTACATTTCATGTCCCAGATCTAACTTTCCTAAAGTGTACCAACAGTGGGTTTTTTTTTTAAAAAAAAATGTTTCAAATGGACTATCACAATCCCTTCATAATGAACAGTAGGTTCTTATTTATAAGGGACCAAGAATGCTATTCAGAAGCCTATCAAAATTGAGGCACTTCCTCCTCCTTTTCCTCCTCCAGCATTGTTGTAGAGATCCCCATTTCTAACCCATAGAAATAAGTTTTCTTTAAGAGGGATTTATTCCCGTATGAAAGAAAATACTCAAAGCATGTTACACAAGAAACATTACATTGGGGCAAGTGGGCGGACCTCTGGATACAGAGGGTTGGAATCCATCCATGGAGATTCTGGTGGTTTGCCAGATATAGGAAAAAGTGGGGTGCAGGGTTGAGGGCAAATAAGGAAACTCCAAACCAACTAAGACTGTTCCTTCAGTCCTCAATGTTTAGAGTTCTGGAGAGTGAAACAAAGAAAATAGTTCATATGAAGAACTTTTATATTTGCTGTGTTACCATCCTCATGGTAATTTTGCTAGCCATTTTCTTTGGGTGCCCGAACTCTATTTTTAATGCCCTCAGTTTCTAATTAGGTTATAGAAATTAGGTTATAGAAATGCTAGAAATGTGGAGATTGATGATAAATTTCATTGGGAGGGTGCAGAATTATGATTCCTGTTATAGTTGGCCCCTAACTGATTCCTGTTATAGTTGGCCACATCCATTTTTAATCCTGGCCATTGGTTTTGTTGAAGCTCTACTGATGTAGCTACAATGAAATTGTTCTTTAATATTTTAAAGTTTAGTGTGTTTTGGTAGAATTACTTGTATTTTATTATGTTTTTAGTTGTTGTTTATTTTATCTGTTAAGTTTAATTAGCGTATGTTATATTGTCAAATGTGTTCATCTTGATGTAATTGTCTGTATGTTTTCTTTCCGGCAATTGAATGTTTGCCTTACATGTTGAAAACTGGCCTGAGTTCTTTTGGGGAGATGGGAGATATACAAATAAAGTTGTATTTATTTATTTATTTATTTACCCTCCCTTTCTCCTTTCTGGATGGAAAATTACTTTGGGTGGTTACCTCCTGATTCTGAGCAAACCTTGATCCTTCACCCTAACACCATTCTCAACTGCTGCAATGGAATGAGAGGCAGGCTAGATAACAGTATGACAATGGTGATCCATGCTGTAGCCTCTGGATTGTAATATGGCTTCCAATACAGAGAGGCTTCAATTTTACTTTTGGTTGAAGTTTCCAATGCTTGTTTTCTGCACCATAAGAAACTTAGGAACAAATTAAATTGCTCCTGCTAAGCTTAAGGCCATTCTGTGTGGCTTATTGGGCAATAAATTCACGTTTGGTGTGCAGTCACAAAGCTGTGCTTCTGCAGAGGGGAACTGCTGTTACCAAACTCCAAAACTCAGTATTTTGCACCTGGGGAAGATGTAATACCTTCAACAAATAGTTCATTCATTGCTGCTGTGCAGAATATAGTCATGTGCATATCACAGACATCTAATAGGTAAGGACCGATGTGTAAAAAGTTTATATCAAGATGGGATGAAGTAGGGCAATGTTTGGAAAGCTACTTTGAAGAAGAATGAATATAATGACATGCTGAAGTCATCCATAACTGATCAGTGGTGGGATGATGCTCTGGGATGTACAGTTATGGATGGCTTCAGCATATCATTATATTCATTTTTCTTCCAGTAGTTTCCTAAGCTCTGCTGCAAGGGGGAAATAAAACACAAATGGAAAGTAGCCACTGGCAAGAAAATACAGTGATGAAATCTAGAAATACACAGGAAGAAGTTTATTCATGACCATGTTTCAGAATGAATTTTAATTCAGAGGCCTCCTCAAAAGACAGTTCTCAACCTAGAATGCTACCTGAACTACATCCCATAGAATGAGGCAATAAAATCAGTTCAAGAGAGGAACCTAGTCAACAACTAGATGAATGCTATCACAAGGTTATTGGCAAAGTTACTTCATTGAACTCCAAAACAGCCACAGCAGCACAAGCTAAAACAGGAATTGGACAGTCACAGAAGTTCTGTTTCTCGTGTCTACAATCTGCCTTGGAAAAGGAACAGTGTAATGCTGATTAGGGTTTGCTCCTTGCTGTTTGGGGTTTGTGCTTTATAGAGTGATAGCAGTCATAATTTCTTATGCCTTCTGTACTTTTCCTTCCAAAATAGGACAAAAAACATCACATTCTATGCAAAAGCTGATTTGAATTGGCAGAAGTATAATTTTAAACTGTATGTTATTATATCACAAATAGATTGAGCATTTTCATTAATCAATGTTTAGATTTGAGAAAATATATTTGGTTTATGTAGGTTATTTATGCTGCAACCCAATCTATCCATTCAGAAATATACTTCACTGAAACCAGTAGAATGTATGTTCATAGGATTGCAGTCTTGATAATATGAACACGAAATAAAGTCTTTCCTTACAGAACAAAAAAAGTTATATGAAATAACACATTTAGTCTGCTTTCCCATCTATCTCAGAATTAAGTAAGTAGAGGAATAGTTCGTGTGATCCCCTTTTTTTGTTGTTAAGTGCTATTAAGTTCACTTCAGCTTATGATGTCCCCATGAATGAGAGACTTCCAAGTCCCCTTATCATTAACAGCCTTCTTCTAAGGTCCCTTCCACACAGCTGAATAAAACCCACATTTTCTGCTTTGAACTGGAATGTATGGCAGTGTGGACTCAGATAAACAAAGCAGATATTGTGAGATTTTCTGTCTTGATTTTCTGGGTTATATGGCTGTGTGGAAGGGCCCTAAGTCCTCCAGGGCAACTGTAGAGTAACCGCCAGCAGAAGTCACTGATTTTAATAAAGACCACCATTATCTATGGTTTCCTGTTTCCACACTAACTTCATGAAGATACCTGTGGATATGGGGTCTGTGCTGTACTTTTCCAAAGTAAGAGCACTATTGTGTGCTGTGAGTCACAGCAGCACTCCAATCACTTGTGCAAATCTGTCATCCTCCTGTACATCAAAGTTTACTATACAAAAACAATTTAAATAAAATTGCTGTGGGAGAAACCTGAATTTTAAATTAAAATGCTGTGGAATAAACTTGAATTCCACATGCCACACTAGCCCTATAGCAGAATTCCACAACAGGCATGTGAATGATGGGTCAGGAAACTCAATAAATCCAGGTAATAAATTCAGTGCACATTAAAGAAATTTAGAAACTAAGAGAATGTTACTAGTTTACAGATATCAATATTTTGTTTCATATACATTGTATGGCCATAACCTAAAGGTAATATCATTAAATATGGTAATACTTTTCTGCACAAAACAAAGGAATAATAACCACTGCTAACCAAAACAACATACTATATATATGGTCCAGTACAAACTGACCTCATATACAAATCGAGAGCAGGTTTAGGCGTCAAAATATGAACCATGGATAAGTCAAGAAATATTATTATTGAGAGGGGAAAAGCAACAATGCCACCTTCGGGAGTGAGCCACCCCGGCCACTGCCACTATTTCCCAAGTAAGGCATTTAAAAAGGCCAGGTGTGGTGCCACGGAAGAGAGAGTGTAAGAGCTTTTTTATGTTCTCCCAGGACTGACTAAGCTTTTGCCTTTCAACACTGTATTAAGAAAAGGGGATGGTTTGTTATTTGATAACCATTAACATAGAGCACTCACAATGACCCATGGAGAAGTCACCAAGGTTTTTAGGGTGATTTTTTACTAAACTTTCTAGACTTATACATAGGTAGTTTCCAGTTCAGCATAATCAAAGTAACTGTTATCGTGCATTATTTTATATATACGCAAACACACATAGTATCTCTCCCAGCCCTGTTAGATTTATTATTGGATAACAATACTTGCCTCTGTTACTTTGGGTTGAAGAATTAAAGCTTCCGGACTCATCCGAGGAATATCTATGTGAATCTGAAAAAAACAAAAACAAAAAAAAACACTTACATTCCAAAACCTTCAAAAGATCTAAGCAAATTCAGATTCCGACTCTGGAACTCACTCCCTAAGGACATCAGACAAGCCCCCACATTGGAAGTCTTTAGGAGGAGCCTGAAAATGTGGTTGTTCCAGTGTGCCTTCCCTGAATAAAGGAAACAATTCCCTGCAAATATCCTAAGAAGTACTTTAATTATCTGTTGGGTTGTTCTTTACATTTCATTTAAAACCCTCCTACTAGATACACCCTCTGTTCATGTCCAGCACTTATTTTAAAGTTTTAACTATTACATCTGGCCCGGCCATAGGTTTTTAAATCCTTGTGTGTTACTGCCTATGTTTAAGTTATATTAATTGTATTGTTTATTTTGCTTATTCCCTGCTTTTTTTATTGTTGTGTTGTTGTTGGACTTGGCCTCATGTAAGCCGCTCCGAGTCCCTTGTGGAGATGGTGGCAGGGTATAAATAAATAATAATAATAATAATAATAATAATAATTATTATTATTATTATTACAGAAAAATACTGAAAACTGTCATGTTACCTGGATCTCTTTAGATACCTTCATAAGACTTTTAAAACTAACTTTTTAAATGGATTTTAATACATATGTATTACATATGACTGTGACTTAATCTTCTTCAATAGGCGAATGGTTATCCTCAAACTGGAAATGAGGCAGGTTAAGGTTACAGGTTAAGGCTTCTCCTGTCTCTATACCCCATCCTTTCTCCATCTGCACTGATTGAACATGTACAAAGCTATGGAAATACTATTTATTTTCTGCTGCGTTTACAATTCTTGAACCGTGTTAAACCCAGTTTGTTGCCGCTCACCAAGAACAGAAAGCAGGAGGATGCTTTTGATCTGCTTTTTTGATCTATTAATGTAGGGAATAAAAGCTGCTGTCTACACAAACTACTTCAAAATGAAGATAAAGCATAACACACACATAAAGGACATATCCAGAATGATGAATGGAAGAGCAGGTTTAGAGAGAAATTAAATGGAAAATCAGGCTTAGAGAGTAACCTCTGGCTAATAGGATACGTTTTGCAGAACATAAAAGGTGCATTAGCTCCTCAGGCTTTCAAAATAGAAAGGTACTCCCTCAATAAAGACTTCAGAAACCTGAATTATCAATGTCCTTCAACTGCATCAAATAACAGTTTTCATGCTGTGTTTCTAGGAATCGTCGAGGTCCTAGGAGGTTTCATGGTAGGAAGATCAGTAGCAGCATATAGGCATCCCTAAAAGACAACTTGTCCATCACTACTGGTTTTCATCAGATGTTAGAGAGTGTGAAGCTCATTCTAAGGAGCAAACTTCAGCTCATGCTGTTAATACAAAAGGTTGAATGACCTGGCCAGTGAGTTTTAGGAGTATGTCAAGGATCTTTCATCTACAACCAGTGCTTGCACAGTAAATGGGAGAAATATTATCTGAAAGGTGATTTGGAAATGACTACTACTCAAAAATGGGCAAGACTTATCCTTAGCTAAGATTAACTGCAATGGAGAAAGAAAACTAAGGACAAATGAAGTTAATTTTGAAAGGTCACAAGGGTCAGGTTGCACAGTCTATTAAATGTCATTTTATGCTAACCGAAATCTCTCAAAATTCATATGTGCCATCTTTCATTGGAATTTGAACAATAATTCCACAACCACATCTCTATCCCAACTGAAAGAATAGCTGTACACAAAGAGAAAGTTCCATGGGTGATCATGATCTTAAAAAGCTCAATATTAAAATCTTTTAAAGAGCTCCCATGATGTAAAAGCCCTATTTGCATTAAGAATAACGTGGAATTTCAGGATCACATCAGAATAGAATAAAGATCAGAAGAAGTTAACAGCATTATACTGTTTTGCATATGCTATTTAGTTCCACCACACTATTAAACATGTGACATACATAGACATGCCTGGGATAAAAGACATATCTACAGGGGGGAAAAGGCTAGAAATATGAAATATATGCATTAAGATGCCGTTATACCACTTCTGTATTCCTTCACCTGCCGGTATGTATCCTGGTGAGTTTCTTCATTCCTTGAATCATAATATTGTTCAACAAAAGCAAAATATTCCTTCCGCTTTCTCTGTAAAGTGCCTTGTCTCCGATCAACATTTGCAGGGAGGTAACCCTAGGAAGAAAACCTCATTTAAATTAACAGTTTTACAAACTGATACTCAAGAAAATAATCTAGCATAACTCTTTCACATATTTAATTTTCAATGTAGTTTTAACCATTTTATCCATCTTACATTCTAACTTCAGTTATTTCTTGTTTTTCCAGTGGCTTCAACAAAACTTCAGACCATGCTGTGCTACCTGTAACTTTGGCATTTTTCACAGAAACAGTATTAAATATTCAAGCCTTCTACTACTCCCCAAAGGCATTGGATCTGCCAAATTTTAGATGGATTGGACAAAGGGTTCTCATTTTATAGGCAATTAAAAAGGTGCAAACACACAAGTTAACTGCTATATAAGCAAAACAGAACTGTCCAATCTGTCAATGTCACTGCTCTTTCTCCCACATCTCTTGGTATACTGTTCCAGACAATGGCTCATTTCAGACATAAATTCCCAGCTATTCACAGAAATCTCTAACTCTTGTAAATACATTTAGGTCTCCAGGGCCTGATGAATTACAACTCTGGAATCTGGGTCCTAAATTTGGTACTGTTCCAACTACAAATGACCTGGATAAGGGCGTAGAAGAGCTGCTTATCAAGTTTGCAAAGCACACAAAAAGAGATAGTGGATAACAAGACAGAGAAATAAAGAATCAAAGTGATTTTGACAGACTGGGACATTGTGCTGAAACTAACAAGATAAAACTCCTGAGAGAAGTGTACGATCTTGTATTTCAAACCAACGAATCAAGAGAAATGAGTAGAGAGTTGGGGAAACGTCACATGGGAATACTGCTTAGAAACATAATCTAGTTGGCTTAGAGAATTGTAAGCTAGATACGAGCCAGCAGTTGATGCAGTTACTTTAGAAAGCTACTGCAATCTTAGCCTATATTAACATAATCAAAGTTTCCAGATCATGGATTAAGTTGGAGATTAGTTTGCTCTGGGGCTGTATCTTCAGATCAATATAGCCATTCAACTATAAAGAACTATTAGAGAACATAAAAAAACAAATAAATGGAGGCTTCTGTTTCACTATGGTATTTAAACAGAAGGTAGGCAATCATTAGACTGATATGCTGTAACTGCACTTTGTATTGCAAGTCCTACACTGAATAGTAGGTTTATTTGTTTATTTATTCATTTATTTATTTGCGATATTTGTATACTGCCCTTTTCAACCCCAAAGGGAACTCAGGGTAGTTCATAGTGCTGGCAACAATTCATTGCCCTCAATAAAAACAGTATAAAACATTAAAATTGACCCTCCCCTAATACAACATTAAACATTACTAAACACAACACATAAAATAACATCACCTATCACACAGAGACATAGCCATTGTCCATAAACAGTCCTGCATCATTGCACTTTCAACTTTAACTTTAACTTTAAATATTCCTATGATGGGCCGAATGTTTGGGTTGTACTAGGCAACCTCAAAAGTACTTTCCAACTCTGTGATCCTATAAAATTGCTTGATCATAAAGACCACTGGCCTATATAGGGTTGCATCTACTCTGTAGAATTAATGGTGTTTGACATCACTTTAACTGCCAGGGTTCAATGTTATGGAAAATGGGAGTTCTAGTTTGACAAGGTATTTCGCTTTTTCTACCCATGATTCCACAGCATTGAGCCATGATAGTTAAAGTAGAGTCAAACTGCACTAATTCTACAATGCAAATGTAGCCCAGGTATTCCTACTCTGACAAGCAGCAACTCTAAAAACTTTATGTAGAATTCTTGTACCATTGACTAACTACATTCCTCCACTATATAGAAAAGGATACAGTAATAAATAAATATTGCTGAACACAAAGAACAGGCAACTGAACAATTAGCAGACAAACAGGAGCTTGAGCAAAGCAGCTATGGCTCTTCTTTTAATACAGTCTAACTCACGACCAAGAAGCCAGACATGATCAAAACTATTTAGTGTTTTTTGAAAACTGGAATGCTGGCCATAACTTGTTTTATCTACAATTTTGGAGCCATAAATCCAATACATTAATTATTTTCAATTTAGGGTTAGTATTCTTTCCCTTTTTGGAAACAAACTGATTTTTTTTCTTTAATATAAATATTATAAATAAATTAGTGGTCAAACAAGACATAGGAATTTTCGGTAAGACTGAAATACCACAAACTGCAGCAAGACAGAAGACATAACTTGAATTAAACAAATGTTTTGTAGAATTCCAATCTTACTTTTAAAAAATACTCATGGACGTGTGTCTCTTTCCAAGGAAAGAAAATCAAATTAAGACATAACTTGAATTAAACAAATGTTTTGTAGAATTCCAATCTTACTTTTAAAAAATACTCATGGACGTGTCTCTCTTTCCAAGGAAAGAAAATTAAGAAAAGTGTAATTTTCCAAATTATGAAAACAATTTTTAAACATCTGATACATATCAGAAATCATATCTAAAATTCAGCGGTTTTGCAGATGTGTTTGATATACACAAAACAGGATTAATGTCAACAAAGCCATCTGCAGTATCTGTAACATGAGATTCAAGGGTCAAGGTGATGAAGTGCAAACTCAGCCTGGTGTACAAATTTTGTGTATTTCTTTAGTTATTTACCATGTTTATACCCCACCTTTCTCACCCCAGTGGGGATTCAAGGTGGCCTTACAACAGGCAGCAATTTGATGCCATACACACGTATATCAAATAAACAATTACAATTAAAACCAAATAATTAAAACACGAATTATTAAAACATCAATTAAAGTCACGTACGAACACATATCAAATAAGTCGTAGCTTGCAAAGCTAAACCTACATTGCTGAATACCCAGATTAAAGACTGTCAAAGAAGAGAGATTATGTCAAAGGATCCAATAGTTTTAGAAAATTGATTTCATATGGGTAAGATCAGGGAGATCCAGACTTTGCTTGGGAACCTGAAGGAGCTGTTAGACTCTTTCTCAATCCACTCATTTGAAGAAAAAATGAAGAAAGTAAAAAATATACACCACTGGTTCCCAACCTTTTTTTGACCAGGGACCACTTTGACCAGAGACCACTTGATGAGGGACCACTTGACCAGTGAACATTTTGACCAGGGACCACTCTCCAACATTAGTACCAAAAGGGTTACAAATCAGTTTTTGGTGAACTTTAGATTTGGTTTGGGGTGCTGATTCAGAATATTGCATTGGATAGACTACATCAGCTCTACTTTGTGATACAGAAAATATGCCATGGTCAGAGACAGGGAAAGAGTGGCAGGCAGCATAGAAGGAGCAGAAAAAAATAAAATAAAATAAAATAAAATAAAATAAAATAAAATAAAATAAAATAAAATAAAATAAAATAAAATAAAATAAAATAAAATAAAATAAAATAAAATAAAATAAAATAAAATAAAATAAAATAAAATAAAATAAAATAAAATAAAATAAAATAAAATAAAATAAAATAAAATAATAAAATAAAATAAAATAAAATAAAATAAAATAAAATAAAGAGGAAGGAGGCTCCCGGACCAGATTTTCATCCTCATGGCCCATTGGTGGTTAGTGGGCCACAGGTTAAGAACCACTGGTATACACTGTAAATGTGTGCAATACTGGTTAATGCACCCATCAGTTTATAATATATAATAATTGTGGAGTCATATCAATGAGCTTGAAAAGTGGTAAATAGAGATTAGTTTATATGCTAGGAAGGCTAGATTGAGAGAAACAGCCATAAGCATCTTTGAACACTTCCTTCCTTCAACTATTGTAGAATGCAGAAGGAGTACATAAACATAACACTTCTTATGAGCTTGAGCTATTTATGTTTGAACTGGATCAATGGTTTCCTCAAAATTAACTAGTGAGTTTCAGGGCTCATCTGATGCTTGAGCCCATGTCTCCATAAGGTAACTCTGATAACTTTGTTCAGTGTACCACAAGAGCATAAATAAAGATTTCCATCCAAGACATAAGGCTGTAACCTTGGAATTAGCAAGTCTATAGGCCTCTAATTTTCACCACTAGCTTAGCATTCCTATTAAGTGAATGCATTTCAAGGCATGCACTAATACATATAAAATGCATAAGCCTTTTAAATTGTACGAGTTGAAGTTATGGCTTTAGATCCAATCTGACATTTAATATCCTCTTTCAAAATATTGTGTGAAGTTAAATATGGAACCCTAAATTACGCTTCTTGTCAAGTAGTTTGTATTTTCTGTATGATATTATTTAGTCCCATTCGAAAACAATTTAATTTATAATTCCCCAATGTAACTGTCCCAGGAACATCAATACTTCCCTTAACAGAGTCGTATTTTCTATTAATCGGTTTTAAAGATTAATAGAGGCACCTTTTCTTGTGGACAGGTTCAATATCCTGTTCTTCTCCCAAGCCAAGATTTCACAACAATGAACACAAAATATTAGCTGCGAGTCCAAATCATTTATATTTCAGAAAACACCAGAGCCTTGTTCATAATTATACTTCACAGCTCACCTGTGCCTTTGGACAAGCCAGAAGAAACTGAGATGGAGAAAATCTATTTTGATTACTTTTATGTCATATCAATGACATATTAACATTTTAGATGTAGTGCCTAACTCACTAAAAGATAAAAATCTGTTAGGTATGTACGGGTTGCTTGCAGACTGTACATTGTATTTTTAAGACAGCTGAACAGTGACCAAACTTGTGCTGATGACTACAGAACAGGACAATATTCAAGGTGTGTGGACAAAATTACATTCATCCAAAAGGTAAGTCCAACATAGGAAATGACAGAAATATATTTTAGAAATCTGAATTTTGAAGGAAAAAATATGGCTTCACCTAAATAGGGGCTAAACAAAAATATCTTACAGGAGGTATAATGGGGCATATTACTATAATTTAATGTGTTTTCAACTGTAGTAATTCAGTGTGTTTTTAATAGTACTGCTTATTTGTTTTTTGTATTTTTTTAAGTTGTATCAAATAGGTTTTAATGCACTTTGTTATTAACTTGAGTCACTTTGGCTCACACCTCAGGAGAAAGAACAGCTATGAGTTGTATACAATAAATATAAAATAAGCACTAACTTGAGTCTCATTTTTGTAGGGAAAGGCACGATAAAGCATTTATCCCACCCAATCGGTATAGAAAATCACAATGGAATATGAAACTTTTACCATTTTTTCTTCTTTTGACCCAATAGGATAAGAAAAATAAGTAATCAGACTCAGCTTGAACTTTAGGTGAAATGTCAACATTTTAAATATATGATTTTCTATTAAAAAATAACTACTGCTTTCTGCACACTTAATTTTAATTGCAAGAGACTACTTATTAGGTTTCACCGTTATGAGATGCATTCAAATTTTGGAATAGAAAGTACTAAAACTGCAAATTTACTTAGACACATTAGCAAGAGAGAATCTTTTAAACTCTGAAAATCAGAGCTCTTCTGAGCACTTCATATTCCCTTGAGAATTATCCTCTCAAGCAAGAAAGAAAAAGAAAAGAAAGCCACTGCCAGTTTTCTCTAAAAAATTTCAACAACATTAAACTGTTGGATGTATAACGTAGTAATATTAAATATCTAACATGAACAATTGCTTATGAAGCAGCATCAGTGTTATCTTGAGTACACAGCACAGGTATAGACACAGAAGCAAATGTTTCTCTGAGCTTTTTAGCCCCAAGCAAAGAAATGATCCTAGTTAAGCCCCAACATCAATGTATATCAGACTTTTAATTTAATATCTCATTATAAGATGCACAACATGAAACATGTTTAACTTTTGTGTAAGAAACTAAGTTTTTAATTCCACAGAAGTTGATGGAGGCGGGGGCAGAAAAATTTAGCACTTGTCATGATTTACTACTCTATTCTCTTATGACAAGCCAAGCTTGAAATTGAGAACAGAACAGCGTTCTTTTTGCCACACTGTTTTGGAGTGCGACTGATTAGCTATGACTCAAGCAAAATTATATGGGGCAGCACCAACAACATTATCATCGTCAAAAATTATTGCATTACTTACTGAGAGGAGCTTCCAAGTAATTGGCCGTACAGGTTTTGGAATTCCTGACCAACTCAGCTTTCGTAATTCTTCTGTTTTCACCACCAAGAAGAATGAACAAACAACAGTGAGAAGATAGTATTAAAATACTTTCAGGTTAATGTCATCATAAGATAAGTGCAATTTTTGTGTTAAAATAGTGTATATTATTTTTTTATTTTATTCATCGTGCCAGAAGCAAATAGAGAATACAATTATAATGCAAGGCATTGTACAAAGTGTATATTATGATAGGCATTGCACAAGAAGTATACAGAAAACATGTCGGTTCAAACTGAGCCTCTTTTTAAGAGAGATAAAGTGGGACACAATAATAATAATAATAATAGTAATAATTCAGCTGCAAAAGGCCACCCTGCTCCGACCCGCACACATTATTCACCTATACATCACACAATCCTAGACACTTGGTAAATGTCCAACATGTGACTGAATACAAAAGCCAGCATAGTGATCTTGCTTGCTGTATACTAATCTTGTTGTGAATCTAATCATCATCATCATCATCATCATCACCATCATCACCATCATCACAATCATCCACAGAAGACATTCACATTTGGATCAAAAATGCACAACCCTCAATTACATTGGGAATTTCTGTTCCTGATCCTACAGTAGTATGACAGGAAAGGAAAAAAATAACAATATAGCCACTATAAATGTATTTCTATGCCAATTCTTCATAGTCAAATACGGTTACTGCACCAATTGGGATAGTCAAAACATCCGAAAAATGTAGATAATATAACAAAATTAAAAGGTAATTCATGGTTACATGATATTAGAACATCTGAATGTATGTACAAATATGAATGATTGAATTAAAATATTTCCTATTAATATATGTCAAGCTTAAACAGCCCACAAATAGTCTAAACTAATAAAAGAAAGATATGTGTGCATCTGTCTGCATCATGTGAAACCAAAATACCTGAAACTTGGCATGCATACTAATTGTTTTTAAGGTATTTTTTAATGAACTGATTAATTTTATTTAAATGAAATTGTTCCAGAACATTGATTTCCAAAGAATAATTAACAGATAATGGGCATGCTTTGGTGGACTATATTCCCAATTCTTCAAATCTGAGCATTGTTGATGATAAAAAGTATATATTTAAGAAAACTGGGAATGCAAAAACAACCCCAGTATTAAGACTTGCATTCCATTTCTATTGCTACTGAAAGGTCACAAAAAGTTATGCTATACTAGAATACAAAAGTGCATGCAATGTGGCACACACACACACACACACACACACGTATATGGAATAAAAACATGTCTTCATGACAGTAGGATCATACTACACTGTGTACGTCAAAATCTCCTGTTTAATATGGCTATTGTTCTCTTTCCCCCTCTTATTTATCCTTATAAAGAGAATTGTGATCTAAATACTATCAACTGAGGTTACAGTCTCTAGATCTTCACTACTAACGTTCCAATTCTTCTGATAACATGTAGTCTGATCTTGCAAGACCAAATCCCATAACTAAAGGAATGAAGGAATACAAACATGCCTTTGAGAACGTCTAGTCCCTAGTTGTTCTGCGTAGCAATCACACATCCTTGTACTTGCCCTCTCCCCATTGTTGAAGCTTGCACTTATTCCATTCCTATTGTTTACAGCTTGGCCATATTTACAGCAGCTTGCCGCCACAGGTTTATGACCTCCATTTTATTGAGTTGGAGTTGATGTTTTTATATGCATATGTGTTTTATGTTATTGTATTTTATATTGTGGTTCATTTTTATGTTTGTTTTTAGGCACTTTGTGCTGTTCTGTAAGCCGCCCGAGTCCTTTTAGGAAGCTGGTGGCAAGATATATATGTTGTTATTATTTATTTACTATTTTATTCACTATATTTATATACTACTTTTCTCAGCCCACGGGTGACTCAAAGCGGTAACAGTAGCAAAATTCAATGCTTGAAACTTCACAAAACAGTTACAATTAAAACAGTAGCATAATAAACAATCATTATACATCAATAAAACATCTCATTAGCGTCTCATAGTTAGAATCAAGATCCAGTTCCATCATCCAGTTTCCATATTCCTATGCTCATTACACTGCCTTTTCAAATGCCTGCTCGAATAACCAGGTCTTCACTTTCCTCCAAAATGCTAACAGGGAGGGAGCCGATATAATATCTGTAGGAAGGACATATGAAGAGTCTCAAATGGAGGCTGAATTTTGATTTCCAGTAATAACTGTGACTCTTCAGAGTGTTACAGAGAAACCTTCTCCTGCTAGAGATGCTAGACCAAACCTGAACTTTTGGTATCCAAAGTAAGCACTCTATTACTGATCTATTTCTTGCTATATATTTCTTAAAGTCACATACTTTTATTTCTAGTAAGCTCATAATATACTTAAAAAGGGACTTTGTTTTCAGACCCCTCCCTTCTATTGCCAACTATGCAGCTCATTTCATGCTAACACCAGACTCAGAATAATCCGTAAACAAAAGTAGCAGAAAGGTAGTATGGATATGGATATATGTTTAATACTGGGAAGGGGAGAATTTACAGGTCTATATTTTGGTGATGTTAGGTTTTCTGTCCCATTTGCAAAAAAAATCCTTGGAAATTTGATGTCAAATTTTCATGGGGCACTGATATTTCTGAATGCTACTTCTTCAATACACCAAATGAATTCCATACTGATTCCCAATACAAAGATAATATTTCAACACATTTGGCATACTGCGTCTTATTTTACCTATGTCAAGAAGTACTTAGCCTTTAACTAGAATTGTAGCAAACAGCATATTAAATTAATTTTTGTGGTATATATTTAAGAGAATCCAAACAATTAATTCAATCACAACAACTACAAACAACATTCAGAACTCACAACCACTGAGGATGCCTGCCATAGATGCAGGAGATAATGCTTCTGGAACATGGCCATACAGCCCGAAAAATCTACAGCAACCCAGTGATTCCAGTCATGAAAGTCTTCAATAACAATACTCATAATGATTCAATGCATATACTGAAGTGTATGGCAGTTGGTAGACTGGCCATATTACTCCACAGGCTAATCTTACTGCAAATGTAGAACTTGTTCCTAGTAACAGTAACTCAAACAGTCCTAAATAAACCCTGAAAATCAACAGTCAGCTACAGCCAAGAGAGTAAATCATAACATAGTGGTTATTTTGCCGCAAGCTGAGAAAATAATGCTATAAAAGGAAGCCTGAAAACATATTTGAACTGTAAGGCAGTAAGCCAATTCCTCAGCAAGCCATCTTGTATCTGAATTAGACAGTGGCTCACCTTTCGGATGTGTCATGGTTCCAGCTGTTAGCCAGAAAGGACCTCTGCCCTAATCCCTGCAGTACCAGTCACAGTCTGCAGACGTGTGACTTCCAAACGAACAGAGCCACAAGCCAAATGAATCAGGTACATGGCTGGTTTTGCATCCAATATTTTTCTTCTTTTCATTTTAACAGCTAAACTCCACAACTTGATTTTAAAAGGGGGCTCAGAGGTCGGATTGGCAATTTGCCAGCGGCGGGGAACGGTGGGGGCCATCAATGAAGTTCAAACATGTAAGAAAACTACCTCGCCGCACAAAAAAACTGTCATTCTCTATTCTACCAAACCCATGGGGAAAGTCTTGGAGATAGACAAAAATTAATTATATTTAGAGAATGGAAAAGAAAGAAGATGAAGTCAGTTTCCCTGATATTTGACTGCTTCACTCTGACCCAATACAGCTAAGTCATAAAGACATTTGAGAGACATTTGCTTTTTGCAGAGTATATAATAATAATCACCATCATCACCATCACCATCACCACCATCATCATCTCTGGTCTCCCCTCATCATGATATATCTGAATAAGCATATCATTAAAATAGAACAAGCCAACTAGTCTGTTTAAGCCATTGGATATGGTTTGTTTTTTAAATGAAAAAACATGAAAGAAACTATTGCAAACTGTGTGTTTTCAACTGCATCTTATTTAAATAGATCAAAACTGCTAAAAACCAGCCAACTACAATATTCTGATGTTTTCCTTTGGTTTTAACTGAATATTTCTCAAACTTAGTGGTTTAGCATTACTTGTTAAAGGTTAACATAGTACTGGACATATTAGCAATGGCTATGCAATAATAATAATAATAATAATAATAATAATAATAATAATAATAATAATAATAATCTTTATTTATACCAGGCCACCATCTCCCCACTGGGGACTCGGGGTGGCTTACATGAGGCCAAGCCCAGACAACAAATTACAACAGAATAAAACCGAAAACGCAAACAATAAACAATCTCAAGTAGGAAGCACTATCTCTTTGCTTTCACTTATCCCATATTTTTCTTCTTGTCACCATTACGTGCAAGCTGATTTTTATTACAGTTGCCCCACTGATGAGGAACTAAGGCCTTTTTTTTTAATTGTGTCAAAAACGACCTGAGAAACTGCAAGTCACTTCTGGTGTGAGCGAATTGGTCATCTGCAGAGACATTGCCCAGAGGACGCTTGGATGTGTTACCACCCTATAGGAGGCTTCTCTCATCTCCCCGCCTGAGAAGCTGGAGCTGACAGACAGGAGACCACCCCATCTCGTGGATTTGAACCGCCAACCTACAGGTCAGCAGTTCAGCCAGCACAAGGTTTTAACCCACTGCGCCACCGCAGCTTCATAGCGTGGAGTTTTTTAAAGTGTTGTTTCAAATAAACAGTTGTTTAATTACTAAAATGGGAAAGATAAAGAAAAAGTGAAATCCACAAGGTACTACAACGTTATGTCTATACCGAATCAGATGTGCATTCAGTACACAGTTTATCACTGTAGCAACTCAGGATAGATTAACCTTGCTCAGAACACCACCACACACCAAGGCTATAGATTTTGTAGTTTATTGAAGAAAAAGTAAAATCATAAACATAAAAATAAGGTTGCAAAAGTTCAATAGCCAAAACAGAGTCTTAAATGCAAAGGCAAAGTTTCCAAGGTCCAAAGGCAAATAACATGAAGTATAATCCACAAGCATTGGGTCAA